AGTGTCAGGTAGACCAGGAAGCAGGCAGCACACAGCAGGGACAAATTAGGAGGGCAGAGTGGCACCGGGAGGAGGCTCCTGGGTCAAGGCAGACAGTGGGAGAAGTCCTGGAGGCCCAGCCACAACTTCAGGTCCACACAGGCAGGGCCATTCCCCCCATTGTCATTATTATTATGTCCCCCGGTGTCATTATTATTATGTCCCCCGGTGTCATTATTATTATGTCCCCCGGTGTCATTATTATTATTTTAAAATAATAATAATAATCATCACTACGGATGCACCTATACCGGTTTTTCGGTATCGAGTATCGATATTTATATTTCGGTACTCGCCCATACCGAGTACTGATCAGGGAGCCAGGCAGCATGTCATTACACACTGCCCGGCTTCTTGATTGCCCGGGAAGCCGACTCCATTCTGTTTGGCCGGCTCGATGCTGATTGGCCGGGAAGCCGGCTTCCCAGCAAATCGGCATCGAGGCCGGGCCAAACAGATCTGACAATATGGCGACACGACCCCCACCCTGCAGACACCTCATTCACCTCACATAGATCCTTCTCAGCAGTCATTACCGTACCAGTCCCTCGGCCAGATACCGCTCTCCAAGCTCTCTGGGATCTGCCCGCGTCTCCTGCGTGTACAGCGCCAGCGTGATCGGCCCTCAGCCTGCTACTGCGGATACTCAGACTGCCCAGCGCTCTCAATCAGAAATTCTGTGCATGCGCAGTAGCAGGCTGAGGGCTGATCGCGCTGGCGCAGTACAAACAGGAGACGTGGGCAGATCGGGGAGAGCGTGGAGAGCGGTATCTGGCCGAGGGACTGATTTATATCGCAAGTGAGTTGCGCTCGGTCTAGGAAAATATAAATAAAATATGTGTACTCTATAGGAAGTGAAGAAGTTACTAAGTGCAAATTCTGCTGTGAAAAATTATAAATCTCGGTAGTCACTACCTCGGTAATAGTTGTGCAATACAACAATCAGGTGTGGGAAAAGGGTTTTCAATCACCAGCCGGTGTATTGATTAGGTGTTTCTGTGTCTGACCAGAAGTTCTGGTATCGGGAAAGGTATCAGAGCATTTGGGCGAGTATGAGTATTCGGCATTGCGGAACCTGGCCTTGGGGCAGCAGGCAGGGTAAATCCGGTCCTGTCCTTAGTCATCACCATAATGACACCAGGCGACACCCGGGGGCGGGACACACACGTCATCACCATAATGACACCAGGGGACGGACATAGCAATAATGACACCAGAGGATGGACATAATAATGACACCAGGGGGACGGACATAACAATAATGACACCAGAGGATGGACATATTATGACACCAGGGGGACGGACATAACAATAATGACACCAGGGGATGAACATAATGACACCAGGGGGACGGACATAACAATAATTACACCAGGGGATGGACATAACAATGACACCGGGGGATGGACAGAACAATAATGACACCAGGGGATGGACAGAACAATAATGACAACGGGGATGGACAGAACAATAATGACAATGGGGACGGACAGAACAATAATGACACCAGGGGATGAACATAACAATAATGACACCAGGTGACGGACATAACAATAATGACACCAGGGGACGGACATAACGACAACGGGGATGACATAATAATGACAACAGGGATGGACATAACAATAATAAAACCAGGGGGCGGGCATAACAATAATGACACCCGGGACAGACATAACAATAATGACACTGGGGGACGGAGATAACAATCATGACACCATGAGACATAATAATCACAATAATAATAATGACACTGGGGGACGTAATAATAATGACACTGGGGGACATAATAATAATAATAATGACACTGGGGGGGGCATAATAATAATAA